TGTCGTGGAGAAGGCCTGCGAAGAGTGCGGAATCAATTTCGATGACCTCAAACTGCCACTAGAGCTCACACTATGGGTCGATCCCAACGAAGTCACCTGTAGGTCAGTATCAATAAATCCTGTTGTGGTCGACCGATGGTAGCGGTAATGGTGTGTTGTGTGTCTGTGTGTGTGTCCGCTCGGTCGCCACCCGTTCATTACTGGCGCCCGTATTCTCTATATATGTGTGTATGTATTGTGTGGATCTAATGGTGTGATTATCTCTGTTTGTGGCAGATTTGGTGAACACAAGGGCTCGTATTGTATTGTCGCCAAACTGAGGGACGGAAGGAAAGAGAATTACATCGATTCCATCAATTGTGAAGAACTCGAACAGAAGACTATCGAAAGGAATAGACAGGTATTGCATCTACTCATCATCCATTGCCAGAGTGTTAAGTTTGTCCATCAATTGAGTATCCATTTTGTGAGCTTATATCCGATCCATTAGTGGTCTATGGGTTTGGTTTCGGGTTTTTGAATCCAGAAATGTTGACTTAGGATTAGCACAGCTCTCTCTCCCACTCCTTGACATGTATGGGCGCCTCCCATGTAATCCCTCATCTTCTTCTCATTGATGGCAAACCTGTTTTTTATCCATTAGTTATTGTTATCTATCATTTAAATGCCTATTGAATGCTAACACCTATTGTCTGTCTGTCTGTTTGTCTCACTGTCCGCACCCGCGAAGGCGTCGTTTGATTTGCTGAACTCGCGGAAGAAACGTCAGGAGCGCCGGAAGAATGGCTACAATAGTTACAACGGCAACGGTTTCGCCGACTACACAATGGGTCCGTCATGTTCTCCATCCCAGTCCACATTCTATCCATTTTACGGTTCGGGCACTCCGTTCGCCACACAGTACGGCACGAGTCCGCCCAACGCCGGCAACGGGTTTGTGAAGTACCCGATTTCGCCGCCGCAGTCGCGCGCTGTGGGCGGCAGCGGCGGCGCCAACGGCTCGTACCGGGCGTTGAACAACAAAAACAACAATTACTCGAACCAAACGATCAATTCAAAGACCAATAATAACTTCTCGCGACAGCTGTTCGCCGGCTCTAACGCTGGCTTTCAGTCGCCGTTCGCCTATCAGCCCAACGATCGCTACCATTGGGTCAACAAAGCTATTGTCAAAGCATAAAGTAATGTAATATAACATTATGTGTGTGTTTTTGGTCTTCAAAAACTCCCGTTTACGACGACAATAACATTACGACTAAAAGTATATATGATTTATACAGAAACCAAACAAAATACACAAACATTTATATGATTTCTCCTCATTTCTACGATTTTCGATACGAAAAGACTTGTATTTAATTATAAAAAAAAACATAAAACAAATCTATTTCTAAACCACAATACAAACAGTAATACTCTCTCCTCTAATGCCCAACAGTTTTTACGATTGAATTGCAATTAATTTAAATGTTTATAATTATCTCATTATTATTTCCCTTTCGGACCGGTATTTGATTTTGAATTGATTTGTTTGTCTGTATTTTTGAAATGAATGTACAAAAAAAACGATAGCAAAGTTTTTTATTATTGAATTTAATTATTGTTTTAATGAATTTATAGTACTTTTAAACTATTATTTAAGACTAAAAATGAGTTTTTATACATTATTTATCAGATTTATTATTATTATTAATATATTATTAGTGAAACTAAAAACACTACCATTTATTTAAAGTGCAAATTATAACATTTTTTTTAATGACAACAAAAAAATAGTAAAACAAATGTAATATTTATTATTTAATTGATAAAAATGAGACAAAAATATAACACAAATTTATAAATATTATAAATAACTAACAAATCGCGCGAAAAACAAATCCACTCTTTGTTTTAAAGGGTCCATACATTTCATATGTTTATAAATGCAGAAAACAATTATAAAAACACACACTCCTCTCCCCCATCCCTGTGCCCCCACACCTCCCGACCCCTCCCTCTCACACTTAATTGTCAAATATTTCGTTTTTATTAAATTATTTGTACTATAGATTGACATCAGATTTATAACTCAAAAAACAAAGACTATTGAAATCACACATTAAATGGAAAATACAAACTAAAACATTATTATAGAGAGGTTTTCAAAGGCTAACCGAAAACACAATACAAGAAACAAATTGATCGCTTAGTTGATGATAATATTGTATAGGTTTTGATGATTGGTATTACTGTTTTATAATACACTATTATAAATATATAAATAATTTATATATACAGTTATATATATAGATAACATATATATAATGTATATATTTCAAGCGTATATTTGTCATATATTATATATATATAAATATATTTGTGATTCGCATTGTATTTATCAAATGAAAAAAACACATTATTATTATTGTCTAAAAATATAAGAGAAATTTATATCGATTTTCAAATTATAAACATTTTAAAAAATGAGACACAAAAACACTGAAACAAACCATAAGCTGTAGAATTCGTTTTCAATGTATTAATTAACACTTGTATTAATGAAAATCCTATTATATATACATATATTATAATTACATATATTTAACATTTATTTCCTATCATTTTCTTAGCTCTTTCTTACTTTCTTTGCTTACTTTCTCTCTCTTCGGGACCATTAGTGACAACCATTTTGTTTATAAGAATTGATTCATAAATTATTTCATGACTTAAATTTAATTTAAATTAATTTATCAAAAAATGCACTTATATTTCGTTGTAATTTTCAAAAACATTTTAGTCTTTTAAACAAAAATACTATTAATTTCCTGTGAATTATGATATATTTTGAGCACAAAATTTTATTTATGCTTTTGAAAAGTGAAACACAAAATGTTTTTTATTTTATGTTTGTAACAAAACCTTTGGTTCAAATATTATTGTATAAAACAAAATAAGTTTTTATTTAATACCGAGAAAAACAAGTGAAAAATTTTTGTGATGTTTTTATTTTAATTTTTCGACTTATTTAACGCCAATAGACTTGTGTTGTATTGGTTTTAAGTGAAGAGTCCCTTAATTTTGATCTAATTTATGAATTTTATTGTTTTAAATTGATTCCTATTTGTTCTCAAATTATTATAATTATATATTGACTTAATTTATAGAAACAAATTGTAATTTTCAGTTATGTTTTATTTTTTTCCTTATTATTAATTATTACAAAACACTTTAGTCTATATTCTAATTGCTATTCACTTCTCATTTGCATTGCATTAGAAAACTACAAAAAAATTATAAATTTAATTAATATTATGTTCTTTTAATTAATTTAATTATAGATTAAAAATAATTGAAGCATTAATTTAATTCGTTTTACCATTTTATTTTTACGAAATCTTAATTTAATTTTTATCTTGGTATAAATGTGATTTTATCGATTATAATACATTTTAGAGGTAATGTTATTATCAATAATTACATAATATTGGTTGATATGTGGAGAAGAGGTCGCCATCTGAACCATTGATGTCTGAATACCTGTGCCGTCGATGTGTTATATTTGGGCAGAGAATTGGCCACAATTTATTGTTTAAGCAGTGATTTGTGACCAAACTTTCAATTCACTAAACATGATATTATATGAAATAACATTTGTATATTTATATGAGTTATATGAAAGACATTCTTCATTCTTATAATTTTATTTTGCATTTTTGATGTAAAAAATTACAAAATTTCTAAATACAGTATACTTTTAATGATTTTCCCCAATATTTCAATTAACGCTTCTGTGATAACAAGTGGTGATCTAAACACCGATTGTCATCAATTAATGATAGCATTTATTATCGTATTTAAACATTTTGAGCTCTGTTTCTAATCCATTGAATAAATATTATTTTCGTTGATATTATCATAATATTTATAGCAATTATTCTGTTTTTCATAATAAGTGTCAGGAATTGAAGCCATAATTAGTTGACAAACATTTCTTATGTCGAATATAACGACAAACACAACATTTCTCTTTGTAAACACACAATAAGCATGCATTCAATCGATGTTTTAGCGAAAATACTTACAGAATATTCTGTTTTCATTTGACAAATACATCGAATTAAGTGGAGAGCACTTGAAATGGATGTTTAGTTTTTAACTCAATTATAGTTTAGCAAAACGGGTTCACAACAGAGAAA